CTGTTCTCCAGGCTAAACAACCCCAGCTCCCTCAGCCGCTCCTCAGCAGACTTGTTCTCCAGACCCCTCACCAGCTTCATTGCCCTTCTCTGGACACGCTCCAGCACCTGGAACACATTGTTCCCATCCCTGCTGTCTCTTTTAGAACAACCAAAAATATTTGCATTTCATGCTTTTGCCATCCTTTTTTAAGCTATGAAATTTCTTCAGGTCCCTCTGCAGAAGTAACGTTTCCTCCAGTGGTAACACAGGTCCAAGCAATCAACGTAGCATCTCCGTGTTGCCACCACGTGGTCAGCTGGCTCCCTTCGCTTGCTCTCCTTTTGGGCACGCAACTTCTTCCACAACTCTCTGGAGTAAAGTTAGAGCAACCCTTTGGGAGATGTGCTCCAAAGCCCTTTAAAAAAAAAAATAAATTTTTTTAAAAATCTGTATATACGTACCCAGAATGGAGCAGATCTCAGTTTGGAGCCTTTGAGATTCTTAGAGCAGCGTGACAAGCATTAGCTCTTGGTCAACTACCTAACTGTAATAGACAAAAGCGAAGAGCGATGCCCTTGAGCTCCTCCCGAGGCAGAGGAACCCCACCTGCGCGCTCCCCATACAGCCCTGCAGCCAGATCCGGCCCCGATCTCACCAGGAGCCGAGACCCCTGTAGCAGGCTGCAGGCGGGTTTTCGATCTCCTGGGCGTGCAGAAGACAAACGAGGTGTTTTCAGAAGTGACCGCAGGACATCAGGATATCGTGGACAAGCTGAGGGACTTCAGTCAGCATATCCTGCAAAAATAACTTTATAAAAAGACATTTTTATCACGCCTCTGACGGAGTTCCGTGCTGGCAGCCTCCTCCAGCCCAGCGAGGTCTCGCTACACCACCCCATGGTGGTTTGAGTTTTAGTCATCGCTGCGGAACTTCAGCAGAGCATCTAGACAAACAACTCTTCCCCCGGGGGACCCACAGCCTCTGGCAGGGTTTGTTCTTGCCGTCTCTCACGCTTAAGAAAACATACAGAAGCCTCCAAGAAAAACTCAGATCCCACTCGGGGCGGGGGGGGGGGGGGC